GCATATATAAATAAACCGAGAAATAACGTGCACTTACAGAATAAAGAATGTGCACTTATCTATAAGTCCCATCATGGGACTTGAAACGCAATGTGCACTTAGAGAGAGATTGCATTTATGAAGGTTGCATTTAGAGAGAGTTGACTGTATGTATGTATGTATGTATGTATGCGTGTATACGTATGTATATCGATATTATAATGAAAATTAAATGACGATAATGTTTTCTTTTGTTCCATGGATGGCACGTACGTTCATTCATAAACACAACTATGCTATATCTAGTATTTTGTATATATTATATTACGTATTATTATGTATTATTTAATTTAATGGCAATCATTAACGCTTTAGTGATTACTGTTATTCTACATCGAGTATTATTAACGTTGTTCTATGGGTATTGGGATACCAAAACGCAAAGACCTGAAAAACGAAATTTTTTCGCTAAAACAAATTTCGAATTTGTTTTTCGAGTCTTTGCTCACCATGTTTTGTTAGCCATATTCTTCTTGCTGGAAAAATAACAAATAAATAGAAACATCTTTCCGTGCAAAAACGAGATTTCGATAACAAATTCATGCACCAATCATGGGAAAATCCGATCTTTTGTGGTATAATTAAAAGAGTACAATGATAAATATCCATATCGAGGCAATGAACTCGGTGAATAAAAAAATGTGAGCTCCGGAGAATCATTATATGATTTTTTCTTTGGGAAATTTTCCCATAGCGTAATGATATTGCGTGCTTTTTATCTCTGAGCATACACATGTGGCGTGTAAGAATGCAAGAGAAATGTCCAAGAGAATATTCATTCGCGGTTGTCGTCAATGTGTATAAAAAATTCAAAGTAAAGAAAGACCCTTGGCAATGGATAGACACGTAGTAATCGTTCGATATACCTAGTCATCGAGAATCTTCCTGAATTGAGCTAACTAAATTAGAGACAAATAAAGAGATTGATCTGGTCATTATTGACCCATATTTATCAAAGATTAATAACAGCAGATCTGTGTATAAACAGCAAAGAGAGCTTTCAAAGAAGCAAGTATCATATAGAAACGTGAAACGCATTTATTACTAAGAGCATCATCATTGTCCCGCTTTAACCATATCCACCGAATCAATGTGTAAGATGTGCGTGGCTTAGTTATCCGAAATCTACATGCACGAGCCACTTTGACGATGAATTAAGGCTATGGTGGCTAAAGTTTATTTTTTTATTTGTTTGCGGGAAAGTGTTGAAGAATTTCTTTTTTTCGTTCAATACAAACATTCTAAAAAATTTGCCAATCTCTTTGGAATAACAATCATTCTTCGCCTGTGACAAGTCTCAAATTAGGCATTTCCTTAGATCATACAAATATCACCGCCCAGCTTTCGTGGAAAACGCAATGCCAATAAAAGAGGTCGTCGGATTTCTCCTTGGGAAAGATCATCCCAAATGAAACTGTAGACAAATGATAGTCATGCATGCACATGTATTCCATTCCCATTCTCTTAAACGTTTGACCATTTTTATGTTCGGTGTGTAGCACACGCATATATTTAATATAAATATCCATAAAGAAATACGTACTTATCTATATATTTATGCTTTATTTGGAAAACAGAGATAAGTCATTTTTAGATCAATATAAAAATATTGATTGACTTGATAAAGGGAAATACATGTAGATAGCTGCTTTATGTAAGTATCTAAAAGGAAGGCTTCTTTTATTCACATATTTAGTATTTCTTCGCGGTGGATGTTGTCGCGACTTAAATGGATGATTTCATATTGCGTTCTTAAGAAAAGTGGGGTCGTTTTATTTGAAGTTGGGCGTAAGAAATCTGTCGGAGGTGTCTGTCAATTTTGTAACACTTGAGACAAACGTATTTGATTCGATGCAAATAAAACGCGGCGAGTCTTTATTTTCAGGAGCCGAAGCTTGCATGTGAAAACGGGTTGAACGCACCGCTCATAACGAATGATGCCAGAGAAAAAAGTGCTCGTCATACGAGTTTTGATGGAGAACTTCGAAATTTTCGTATGATTATACTTACGGATGAAAAGTAGAAAATAGTGTCTAACATGGGCGTTGCTGCGTTTTCTTTACTAAATGACATCACTTGACATATGCTTGACGATTGAGTATTAAACTTATTAGGAGTCAGAGTTTTAACTCTTTTTGCAAAGTATTTCGAAGATCCAGCGTTTTTCGACTAACCTGGAAGAGAAATATCGATATCGATATTTTCATCTAACAAATCCATCAATTCTAAGGTTGATCTACGAATTACACAGGGACAAACTGTTAGGCTGGTTACGAAGCATCACAAATTTGATGATGATTCCCGCTTGCGGAACAATTTGAAATTCTTTAATAAACTCTAACGCTAACATAAACATCGCGTTTTTAGATTACTAATAAACATAATAAACATTGCGTTTTCAGATATAACTAACACAAACATTGCATTACATGTACATGTATTCAGATGATTGATGAAATTTATTATTATGTTGCACATATCGATATTAAGAAGTCTGATCAAAGACTGGGCGGCCGATTTTTCGTTTCTTCAATCATCCGAAAATTACGAATTCATGATGAGGGATTGACTCTTAAAATTTTTAAAGATAAATCTTAAAGTGGATGGATTCATTCATAATCATTTTATACATGTACTATTATGTTCAATTATGGGCTCGCTTTAGCATGACGAAAAAAAAAACGCCAAATTACTATGAAGTAGATATGACCAATTATGAACGTTCCTGATATTCCTCTATTTACCCCAGTACGCATTTTTTTTTTAAAAAAAAAGAGATATCTATGAAATTATATGGCGTTCGGTAATGTGGACGACCATGTATTAAAAGTGACCGAGTTACTTTTTTTCTGGGTCCTGCTTACACCGATTATTTCATTTCTATTATTGCAAAAACTTGAATTCTATCTGTCAAATCTAAAATTAGAATAAAAAATACATCAACATTTAATCAGAAAATTATTTATTTTTTGTATTAAACGAGGCGCATCGCGATTGGTCTCATCCATTATTCTTTAGTAATACGAAACATTTACTTTAGTAATACGAAACCTTCTCTCTATACGTAAACACATTTTACAAGTTTCACTTTTTTTCTCACGAGACATTCTTAGGTGGCAGGTTAATTAATTAAACATTTACAGTGTCTTTTGTGATTTGTGTGGCAGAAATGTTTACCTGCTTTAACTTGAAAGCATATCCACTGCATATCGATATCCTTCTGCATAAACCGGATATCTTTATTCAATTCGTAAGTTTTAAAAAGCCCAGAGAGATTTCTTGTCCGACGAACGAAACCAAAATATTAACGGCGAAATTTCTCGTGGTTCTGCGTGACTGTGCCGTCAAATGCATCATCAAACTCCGTAATCCCATTTTCTGATTTCGCTCGTTTGATTGTTGAACAACGTTGAAACTTCATTAATGCACCAATGTGCACATGAATACGTAGTAACAATAATTCATCGAATGCATTCATGTTTTCCTTTTTTCGAACTGGGAGAAATAAATTTATTTCATTTTGTTTGTAAATTAAGACGATGACTTGAAGGATGTAATACGTGAAAAAGTTGAGTAATTATGCAAGTTGACTGCTGCGTGATTGGTGGGAAATTGATTGAACCCGAAAAAGGAATAACATCGGAACAGCAAACTTTGATATAAAAATAGCAAATAAAGGAACAGCGGAATCGAGATTTAATTTGACAGAAGAATGAATGAGACATTTTTTAAGCTCCTCATAGACGTCTGTCATAGTACGTCCAGTCAAATTTGAACAAAATCTCCTAAAAGAACGGATGATCCCGAAAGAGGTATTCAATTCTTTTCTTCTGTGGATTGGTATAACAAATGATTTTTTAGGTTTTGGAAGGAGGTCATTGAGAGCCTGATATGTACGTATATAATACATGTACATGTATTTGGAATGCTTATATTCAGCAGTTTGAGATATCGTTGGTCAAAAGCTGCAACATAATAAGTGAATTGCGACATAATAGAATCACAGAAATGCAAGTTATACGGATAATTCGACTCATTTCAATCAGACAAGAGTAAAATGATTACTTGCTAGATTTTTTGGTAATAAACGCAGGTCTGATAAGATAAGTCAAGCTTTTCTTTCACGTTAACAAATAATGTCACTAACGCAAATAAATCCAAACAGATAAATACAAACGCAAACCAGCAATTCGAGTATACATGTGGTGATAATCAATACAAACTCTTTTTCTGAACGTATTACTATCGCTATCGCTATGGTTTAATTAACGTTAATAAATAACATAAAAACGTATCCCCCCCCCCCCCCCGTATTCATGGTAGTATTTATTATTACCATAACGATAAATTCGAGAATTAAAGCCGGCATAACTAACGATCCCTAAAAACAAACGCATGTATTACAAATAAGGGATGATGTCCCTGTTGGACAAAATCAGTAATAAATGTTACCATTACTGCTACGCTGACGTTTGATGTTACGATTTATTATTTTCTCTTATTATTGATGAACTTTTTTAATGACTAAAAGGATAAAACGATGATATAGATCAACTTCAAACAATTACGCACAAATCAGTTTTTATGTTGATTTTCAAGACTCGTCGGATTCCATCTTTCTAAAGCTTTAAATATCACACAAACATACGCCATGGAACAATCATCGCCTACGCAAAATGGTATAATTTTTTTTATTTGCAAAAACTCTCATTTTTCTATTCATAGACCAAATACTAACGTTAAAAAAAAATACAATATTTTTATAAATAATGATACAACAATGGTTTAACAATATGACAAATAAAGTTAAATCAACAAAAATATTATCGACGAAAACTTCAGCGAAACACTCAATGGAAGAGGTGGCAGTGATAATCGAAGACTATGACGTAAGCGTACAAAACGCATATAAACTCCCAGAACCGCCACCTAATCGACATATAAGAGCAGCTAAAAATTTAGCAGCAAAGATCTGGTGGACACTCGCAATATTGACTTCGGCTTTTATGATCCCTGGATCAACGATATTATTAGCACATCATCATAAAATTATTCCAGTAACGTATAAAAATATTTGCTGAAATTTTTAATGGGATGGGGTTGAAATTTATTTTTTTTTGTCAAAAAAGGTTGTTTCAGAAGTCTTCATTTCAATATATCTCACATTTGACCTTGGTCTACGAGCGGCTTTTGGATTTGCTGCTGTCACCCAAAATGACGAAAGTTTGTTCTGGAAAATTGTAATTTGCCTACTACTAATTACCGGTTAGTGCAATGTTTCTTGGTCCGTTTTACCGGGATTTCACGAATCAAAAAATGATTAATCAACCTTACGCACAGGCAAAGAGGATTTAGGTCATTTGCATGATCAATTATTCGCAACCGTATCAAGCGACATATTGGACATTTTAACAGTAGTTAATTCTGGTCTCTCAGTACCATTTTATATATGGATAATAAGAGATCCCGTGTGTGCGGCAAGTTCTGAATGCCAGATTTTGGCATTTACGCTTTTGGCAGCTGCATGTTTCTTGGTGATAAAGTGTCTGATACTTTTAATTTTTTTCAAGTTTGAAGCTTTTGATATCTGAACCTTAGCCAATTTAGAGTAAATAGCTCAAGTTTTTTCTGTATAATAACTCAATCTTATTTGGTGGAAGCAATTGAAATTCGGAAATCTAGATCTTTGCGTTATGCTAACAGAATTCTTCTTGTCGAGATATTATGCTTTAATTTTATCGTAACAAATGAAGAACGAAACCTTTCATGAATTCAACAGATGAGCATATGAAATTGAAATTGGCCATCGTAAATTATTAGTAAAGCATTATATTTTTTCATCTAGTCAGAAAATTCGACTTTTTTGCTCAATAATCGTAATCTATCTATTGCAAAAAAAATGACAATTCCTCTGACAAATTTTCATTAAGATTTATTCGGTAAATATCGTTTTACTGACAATACATACAAACTTATATTATCTGAGGTAATAATCGTTTTTTCATCATCTTTGACCTCCAGACGTATAGCATAGCGACACTCATCATGATCGTATTGTATGATGATTAGCATGACTCAAAATACATGTAATATTTTTATAGATGAATATTTATCAACTCAAGCAGTGTAGAGCAGAGGAAGCGTGCGAGGCTCATAACCCCCGAGCTCGAAGGATCGAAACCTTCCACTACTACGTAGTTATCTTATAAATACAGTTCTCGATTATAAATAATGAGGATTTTTGTTTTTTTATGTAAAATGATAAAAAATTTGTTATGATCTTGCGAAATTTTAATTTTATTCTCTAAAAAAACTTATTCCCATTTTATATATCATTTTGTATGATACTATAGTAAAATTTTTAGAATGGCTATACATGTACGTACGTATATCGTATTTTAGATCTGCTATGACACGTATACTGTATACAGTTAAAAGTTCGATAAAGCGAACTTGTGTTAAAACGAAGAATTTTCAGGAACTAACCTATTAACAAAGAGCTTGATATAACGAAAAGTAATATAAATAGTACTTTATAACGTTGAGGCCTTCGGTTTATCGAACTTTAACTGTATCGATTTTAAAAAAATATATACAAGCATACGTACATTGTCGGAGGAAAATAATTGTTTTTTTCTTATCCCTTAAACCGTCCAGCGGGCAAATTTGCCCACTAAAATTTTTTTAGCTTATTTTTATACATTTACTCATAATTTTTATAAGCTTAACCCCCTCTTTTTTAAGCTAAAATAAAAACATAGCATATTTTTAATCAATATAATATAAAATTTGTAATTTTTATTTATAATTGCTCAAAATATTTGATTTATTTGGTAATCAATTTTGTAATTTTATGATAAAATATTTTTAAAATTTAAGATTATTAATAAAATTTTTTTAACATTGCTTATTTTTAACTTATAGACAACAATAATTTTTTATAATTATTAAAAAGTGAAAATTAAAGCTAATATTAAACAAACTTTTTTTAAAATATTTTAATTTTTGGTAAAAATAAATTAGATATAAATTTATGGAAATTTAGCGGGCAAATTTGCCTGCTAAACCTGACGGTTTAAGGATAAAAATCTATCTTGAACCTTCAGAGCCTGCTAAACCTGACGGTTTAAGGATAAAAATCTATCTTGAACCTTCAGAAGTACACACCCCTATAATAAATTACCGAAAATCAAAAAAATTTGAAATTAAATTTAAAAATCCATAAAAAATATAACTTTATTTTGATATACATACAAAAAATATTTACTAATAAAATTAAAATTTCATTTCATTTTTTTGGATTTATCGTTATTGCGTACGTACGTATTGGGTATAGCATAGCAACAACAAAAACGGTAATACATTACATATACGTAGTATGATCAGCATGACTCAAAATATGTCTTTATGATTTTACATGTAGATAAATATTCATCAATTCAAGCAGTGTAGCGCAGAGGAAGCGCGCGGGGCTCATAACCCCGAGGTCGAAGGATCGAAACCTTCCACTGCTAGTTATCTATTTGATTTATTTTTTATAAATTTCTATTTGATTTATTTTTTATAAATACGGACGTAAATAATGAGAATTTTTTTCATGTAAAATGACAAAAAATTGTTATGATCTTACGAAATTGGAATGATCGTTATATTCTTTTAAAAAGTACTTGAAAATTTGCGTATTCCTATTTTACACAATACTTATAATAAAATTTTAGAATTGCAAAAGATGACATATCGTATTAGATCGGCTATGACGCAGCTACTCTAAAAAGTCCATCCCATAGCGATAACCATTCCAATCATGTAACGGTAACGGTAATAGTCGTAATACATGTACATATATAGTATGATCGGTATGACTCAAAATACGTATTCTTGTATTGTATGCAGCTTTTATGGTATTAGTATTTTTAAAATGAACATTTATTAACTTGAGCAGTGTAGCGCAGAGGAAGCGCGCGGGGCTCATAACCCCGAGGTCGAAGGATCGAAACCTTCCACTGCTAGTTATCTTTTTCTATTTGATTTATTTGTTTGTAAATACAGTTCTCGACATAAATACAGTCAACTCTCGTTAAACCGACCATATTTTCTTCGATTTAACGAAAGTTTACTATGTATTTTTAATTATATATATTAATCACATATTTTATATATTTAATTAAAAATAATAACATAATTTATATATTTAATTAAAAAATAATAACATAATTTATATATTTAATTAAAAATAATAACATAATTTATATATTTAATTAAAAATACGTAGTAAACCCGTTAAATCAAAGAAAAATATGGTCAGTTGACTGTAATGAGGAATAAAAATGGTTTTTAAATTACAGTCAACTCTCGTTAAACCGATCACATTTTTCTTCGATTTAACTATGTATTTTTAATTAAATATATATAATATTTATATACATACATTTAATTAAAAATACATAGAAAACCTCCGTTAAATCGAAAAAAAATATGGTCGGTTTAACGAGAGTTGACTGTATCATTTTTATGTCATAAAAAACAATTTTATTATTGAAATTGCATAAAAAATCAAATAGTCAAGTATGTTATAATAGCTTGATTAAACTATTCAATCTAAAAAAATTAAAATTGTTTCAAGCGTACGATTGTATTTATAAAATGTATAAACTTCTCAACTGAGAATTAAATACGAAATTTAATCCGTGAACATGATCGATTTTTTTAAAAAATCGCATTAGATTTACTAAAAAAATTGGACTAAATTGTGGTTCAAATTTTTACAAGAGGGGGATACTATACTGGTATTCTATCACATCCATGGATTAAATTTTGGATTTACTTCTTAGTTGAGAAGTTTATACATCTTATAAAATACAAACGTTTGATGACTTTAGATGTTATGCACCATAAAATTTAAAAACCTCCTGATGTATGTTTCTTGTAAAAACACAATAAAGCAAAAACTCTCATTGTTACCGTTATGTTGAGTACTGTAAAACAGAAACATTATTTGGATAAGATATTTGAAATTCAAATGCAACATACGTATTAATGTTACTCGAAAAAAATTGAACCCCATTTTGTGTATTGTTATGAAAATAAATACGTACGTAGGTACATGTAAAATTAACGCAGTTGCCAAATTTAATTTATAAACTGGTGGCGTCATAATTTTGAATCGTAAAATGTCGCAAGTATCTCCCATAGATAAAATATTAAGCAAAGCATAGTTATTTGAATACAAACAAATAATTAACTATAGAATACATATTATACAAAAGAAAAATAAAGTTTAAAGCCCACAATAAAAGAATTTTTATTATCAGCTGTTCGTCTAACTTCCATTTTCACCACGACAACCTGGTGGTTTGTTTTTTAAATCTCCATTTAATGTTCATATTTTTGGAGTTACCAACACTGGTTTAGAATCCACGACACAAAGAAATTATCTTATTGAGGAACGTGCTAATACTATGCTTAATCATGTACATGATAGTTTACTGGAATCCATCTCAAAAAAAGCTAAAGTTACATGTGATAATGCGGGAGATCAAAACAAAAATAATCTTACGCTTTGGTTTTATTCATGGCTTACTACATGTATGGTTCCCGGTTGATTTATGATTCACATTTTGGAATAATTATCGTAAGGCTATCGCTAATCGTTATGAGCATGGGATCATGTTGAAACTATCACTGATGAACTATATTTAGAATGGAAAAATGGCTTGGACAAATATATACGTGAATTGCGGAAAGCTATAATATATATATATATACGTTATCGTATAACAAAAAATTTGGCTATGAATCGAGCATGCCAAGGATCTAATTAAAACCTCTATTTTGGTTTGTGATACTCTGCTGTGGACCAACCCAAATACACTCGAGCGTAGCCATATAAAAGTGCGATTATCAAAAAACAAACATAGGTAAAATAGACGACGTAGACACTAGTTACAACGTTATAAGTTTCAAAACCGAGAACGATTTGTACGAGTGCTAGGACAAATAGAGTTCTTCCTACCCACCTATTAAACGATACAATTAATATGATAGTTAATTGCGTTGACATAATTGGATAAATAGTCACTTACCAATGAAGTTTTGTCCACCATGGAGTAGATTCACGATCGGGTCTATATAATCGATGATGGATCATGCCAAGTACCATTTGTCCTAATAATCCAAAGAAAATGATATTCCCGAGTACCTGCATATGAAAGAAAGCAAAGTTAATAATTTTCACTCGTTAGAATACACATGCCTTTGGATATAACGACATCATAGAAAAATAGATATTCGATATAACCACCACCATAGTAACCTACTATAGGCAAGCTTATGTAATGAATGACATAACGACATTTTTTTTAGTGTCCCGGCCATGTCGTTATATCCAGAGGCATGTGTACATCTTCATGAAAAATCACTTACGCGATGTGTCTTCACATATTTTGACTCCCAAACTTTATCTTGAAGTTGAATTAGGATATAAGCTAAAATAGCTAATGTGGTAGTGCCGAAAACCTGAATGCTCCAATGCAAATTAAACCATGCGTTCGGTAGTAACTTTCTGGCAAAACGAGCCATAAATATCCCGATTGGCATCGTTATCAACCAAGCACCGCACATTAATGAACCTTAAGATGAATCAAGAATTGGATATAGTGAATATTCCATTTATTGCAAGAAAGAAGAAAACAGCATCTACTTACCATGCGCAATCGCTAATTTTTGATTTCTCGTCAATCCATCCTCAGAATTCAATGCATTAATGGTTTGGACATCAGTGGCAGGAGAACCAGAAGAAGAGGTGACTAAGTTGAAAGAGGTTGTTCCTTTATTATCATGTTGCGTTAACCTAGCATTTTTCTGATTGCTTTTAGGATTTGTTTTAGAGAAGGCCCAAACGAATGATTGTTCACCGGATGTAGTCATTGTTGAGCCAGACACTGTTACAGCGCGTTTAATTATTGCTATCATTTGCCCATTTCGCACTCCGCTTAAGGATGAGTCTAAATTTAAATCGGTTTGTTGATCTGTGGTTGGTGGCTCGGCGTGAGCTACTGCTTTGCGTTGTGAGATTGTTATTGTGTTGTCGCTGTTTGGCCATGCAATCTATAAGATTTTTGAAAAATAAATCTACTATCTTTGCGGAATTTACAAGAACCTTCTCTATAATAAAAGATTACATACCATCAAATAAGATCCGATCATACCATCACCAATCCCTACACCAAACCAACTAATAGATTATTAGTATTTTCATGGTTATAATACAGTCAAACCTCTCTATAGTCACCATCCTCGGGAAAGCAAAATTTGGTGACTATAGAGGGAATGTGACTATAGAGGGATTTTTTTTACTATGTTTATATGTAAATGGGAAAGTAAAATAGGGTGACTATAGAGGGGTGTGACTATAAACGGACGTGACTATAGAGAGGTTTGACTGTATATTAAATATTACTTACCCGACTGTGGAAGGCGCCGTCAAATTAAAGGTGACAAAATTCTCACTATCATTGGCATTGGTGGGCGGCATCGTCACAGTAAAACAATAACTTGACAAGAAACATGCTGCTTGACCATTTACACCTTCACGAATGATAATAAGGAAAATATTAATTCATATTCTTTACTAGGAGAATAGAAATTTCATGAAGATATATATACATATATACCTGGAAATATTACCAATAAGAACAATGCAAATACAGATAATAATATTCGCGAAATCATATTGCTATTAGACAGAAATTTCCTTATTTCGATTACGTAACTTGTCAATGCCAGAAATGTATTGATAACAATCAAGCTCACTTAATTTTTTAAAATTTTGAGATTCTTGAAACTGATTAATTTATATCTTTCCAAAAAACTTTCCTTCCGCCTCGAATTTTCGAATTTTCAATTTTAAAAGTTGCTAAGTTTAATGTATATTGCGCCCTTTAATATTATGTGTATTTGAATTGTATCAATATAGCGATAGGAGTAATGTTATGGAGTTACCACTTGATTAGTAATACCTCAATGATATGTTTACAGAATACAAACGTAAACTCAAAAAGATTCGCAAAAATTAATCTTTACCCTGTGTGATATAACGATAAACCGAAAAGACGTCTCATTGAACTATTCAAAGTACTGCCAAGAAAATGTAACGGTAATATGACTATGAAATAAAACAATGTATGCTAACCCGGAAACGTAGAGTTGATGTATCGGTATTGGTAGTTCTTTATTTAGAAGAGAAGGTAACACAAAACCTTGATTCATTGGACAGAATTTCGAAATAGAACGTTCTTTATTATTGTTATACGTAGTTGAACATTCGGAGATTTCAAAACTAGTGAATTTTCTTGTGCAAATCCCTTCTACGTCTAACTGATCGTTGTTAACCTTTACATTCATTTTTTTGACACGTCTAATTTAAACATATCGGAACGATAAAATTCCGAGGGATGCAATCCTCAAGTAGCATAATGATCAGATGATACATGTACGTATTCGATAATCCAATATTCTATGAGAAAGAAATCACCAAGTAACTCACGACCCAATCCGCTCTTTTACCTTCACCGACTCATTAGTTACCGTTCCACAAATTTCTAATGTAGCCAAAAAATAATATCGATAAACTTTCAATCATCAAAATTTCTATCCCTTAATCAAACGTCTAGCCATTGTTGACCCATTTTATCAAAGTTCTTGGAACTCTTGAGCAGCATTTTGCATTTCATATTAATTTTTTTATGTGACGTTAAGCGGCGAAACTAGGAGAAGTGGAATACGTAATGGTAATCATTTTTGATTTGCACATTTTAGAGCTGTTAAATGTGCCAGCAGACTTATTTAGAATGTTGCGTTTACATTTGCTAACAGAAATCAGAATTATTAATATTTTCTTTCTATTGCATCGGATAATTATTACAATCTGAATTACGTAATAGCAACGAGGCAACAATTTTCTTTGAGAAAGCTTAAATTTACGTAACAAGAGAAAATTGAAAACCAAGAAACATGGATGATTATTACAGTCTAATTTTTTTTTTCATAATCTTATAATACACACGCGAGTTTTTATGTGAAAATTATGACTTTATTAGCATAATTTTATTAAATTAATGATACATGTATAATAACGATAATGATAGAAACGATCCAAACAAGAACGCTATCATCGTATTTGTTCCTTAACAGTTTGGACTTTTCCACTTAAAATTCTGCCCAATAAACGTCTATTTGGCGAGGCATCAGGCTTTCGACCGACTAATCCAGATAGACGCTCAAGCGGAATTCGTTCATCGATTTCATGCAGACGTTCAAGCAAATCTGCCAGAACATCCAAATAAATACGAAGAACGTCAATTCCAAGTTTAGGTCTTTCGCGATAAATTTCTCGATGTCGAATTTCACGAGTAGGAATGAACCGCCTTGGTCTTTCCTCGTCAGTGGGATCATATCGTCTTTCCTCGTCAGTGGGATCATATCGTCTTTCCTCGTCATTTGGAGCATCATGTACAGTTTCAGTTGGGATAGTCGCGGATTTGTTTGGATCGTGTGGCAGTAAAGTGCTTTGCAAGTAATTTTTATTCGGGGTTTCACTTGATTTAGTATTAGTAAGAGCAGATGTTGGAATTGCATTGATTCTTCGAGTATAGAGACAAAAGGCTAAGGTGACGACCAACGTAAAAATGTTTAAGAATTTCATCTTTATTTTTTTAATTTGTTTTGTTTGTTTAGTGATTTTGGAATTCTACCAACTATGTGTATTTATAGACTTCTGGACCGGTTTGAATAAAAATATATTAAATCACAACAAATCATTTTGCCAGAGAATATCAAGGCATCGATCTATTCTGCGGTTTTGTATTTATTTTATCAAGCGTGTAAAATCCTGAATTTATTATACAGTTAAATGCATACTTTTTTAAATGGATTATATGGTGTCAGATTCAAGCGTACACATTAAGAGAAGTGTGGGATATATAAGTAATATTCTACTATAAAAATTTACTTTACAGTTAGCACCCTCATTTCAGATGCGTTTATGAATTAGTGGCTCTCATAAGAAATGGAACACTCGATAAAAATTTTACCTCCGTCAATATTAGTCCAAACAAAATAAACAAGTGTTCGTTTTTTCAAAAATAATTTGATAACAAATTATTTAACCAATTTTTGTGATTTAAGTCAAATTTTTCAATTAATAAATTTCGACCTACAGAACTTTTTTCTCTAAGAAAAAAATTAATTTAGAACACTACGTAATTAAAATGTTATCGTTATACATATACTCTACGAAATCTACATACCAATTTTCATAAAATATCTATCGATTTATGAAAATTGGTAAGATTAGTATAAATTTTTTAATTAATGGTCTAAATTAGGATTTTGTCTTAGCGTTAGAGAAAAAAGTTCTGTAAGTCGAAATTTATTAATTGACTTAAATCACAAAAATTGGTTAAATAATTAACGGAGATAAAATCTAGAAAATTTTTGTCGAGTGTTCCATTTCTTGTATGGGGTAAATAAAGTTAAAACTAATCCAATGTCCAAAGTTTCCGTGAATTTCTTTTGAACAACACAAGACTAATCTAGTCTCAGTATATTATTCTAAACTAAATCATATTTATTTTGAATTTATTTTGAATTTATTTTTATTTCGGTCATAAATTAATGAATTTGCGAAAGTGGATGTTTATGCAGTAATTGTAAAATTTCCTTCAACGAGAAATTTTAAGACAATAATTTATCTTTATGACAATTTTCTAAGGCTTCAACTCACAATATGTTCAATCTCGACTCATAAAACTGATCGTAGCTACTAAGGGTTAAGAAACTTATTAGAAATTATCGGGATTAAAAAATGAAATGAAAATTCATTTATTCATTTCTTTCGAGCCCACAATTGTAGCATACGTAAATGTAATGGAGCATTACAAAACACAATGGTTTTATATTTTCTTTAACGTGCAGTTATTTTATAACTCATGCTTTTTTCAAATATAGCTATCTTTAAAAATTCACAACACCAAGCAAACGAAATCGTGTTTAAGGAAAAATTTTCTTGCAAAAATTAATTATAGTTATGTTTCGATCGTATCGATCATTAGGCAATACGTATGAACTACGTAAAAGTTCATGTCACGTGATAACTTTAACAATGCGAAAAACTGGGATCTGGGTCAAGATTATTTGGCAAATAAACAATGTATTTATAGTATGTTACATCATATAAAAACTGTTATAATCACCCTTTTTTCAAGAAAACCCAATTCATGAAAAAAATTACTATTGGGCCCTACATGTACAATAAGATTAAAACCATATACATGTACTTAGATCAACACCACTGCGTACCACAAAACCAAAACCTTTGTACTACATTTGTCTCGATTCAAAATATATAAACCGCTATTTCTATTGCTAAGACTTTCCACATACCCGCAATACATAATAATGAGCATCACGATCATTATAGGTAAGTTCAAAGCCAGGAAAAAAATAATAAATCAAAGTCTAATATTATTCTAAATTCACTTAGAATTGATACAGCTTTTTGAAGTCTCTATGGATCAGGAAGTTTCATTTTCAGATATCGGGAGAAAACTTAAAGATTATTTGGTACAAAATTATTTACCCGATCGAAATCTTCAAGCAATATTGTTAAATTCATCATTGCCTTTGCATGTCACTGTTCTTGGTTTTTTGATCATTACCCAAACGATTAGAGATGTCGAGGTTGATCCACTCATCGTACCTCGCAATTACCCCGAATCGAAAAAAATATATGCGCGTCAATTGATTCACCAATCGGCAGATCAAGACGAAATGTATGCTCAATTTCTTTTGGCGATTTCATATCGTTCTGGGCTTTGGCATGTTCGTGATAATAGTCAGGCGTTCCAATGGTATCAAAAATCAGTGAGATCTAATAACTTGGTAGCATATCATCATCTGGGAGCTTGTTACCAATATTCAATTGGATGTAAAAAAGATATGGCTAAAGCGTACAAGTGTTATTCGAAATTCGGAGATGGATTTCAAGACGGGTTGATGTTATGTTATTTCAAGGGAGAGGGTATCCAAAAAGATATTCATTCAGCTTTAAAATGCTGTAAAGCTAAATACTTGATAATGAATCTAAATAATTAAATTGTCAGGTATTTAGAGAAAGTTATATATAATTTGTATTATTAGATGTGGTTAACCACTATTCGATTCGTTTCATCAGACACCCGTTTTATTAGACATCTGTTTAATTTTCATTTTTTTTCATTTCATTTGTTTTCGTTTTATTTGTTTGTTTTTGTTCTGTTCTTGTTCTGTTCTTCTCGTATTCGTTTTTAGAAACCTGACAGTATTCGGTTTTTTATTTTTGACCTTGGCAAATTTCTTTCTTTTCGAGTTACATTTATTTAAATACATTTATTATATTAGAATATGTTCATTTTAGAAACCTGAATATTATGTTGTTTCTTTTTGACCTTAGCAAATTAGAACCAATTATTATTAAAATTTCGCTCGCATCATATGATGAAACTTTCTATTCAAATGTGTACTCCGCATGGTGTGATTGATAAAATTAGCCATTTTCAATAGTATTTGAAATGCAATATTTTGGATATCTATGTTTTGTCATTAAAGAGGTAGAAAGATACACGGATCTAAAAATAGTTGCAATAATCTAAAATCACCGACCTTTTGAGGCTCATTGATAGTAAATAAAACGAGAAACCGTTACTTTTTTTCATGCCTGATGTGTTGTTTTATATTAATTAACTATTTGTGCATCCGCGGTAGAATTACAATTACTTAGGTCACCGTATAAATATTTGTATATATGCAAGATTAAATTAGCGATTGTTTATCTAGGATATGATGCAGTGTTTTTTGTTTTTGAAGAGTTCCAAGGAGGTGACCAGCAGCTGCAATAACCAAGGGATGTTTAAAGAAGTAATTAGAAATTATTTGCACATAAAAAAGTTAAGTATTAAACAACATTATCTTTTTTTGATATCCGCAGAAGTTGGTGATTGCAACCTCTGAAAGGAGAAGTTTATGATGACGAAATTCAAGAAACATATTTTAAATTAATTCGATTCCTAAACATAGTTGGCTCACTCAATTGTGTATAAAAGGATTCGCAGCCATGAGAAGGGTGCGAACACAGACACTCCGATCACGCGTCAAGAAATTCGTCACCGAATACATCGACAAACTTTTTGCGCATATCTCTTGAGACCTATTTCTGTTGGTCAGAAGAGAGGTTTTAAGAACATACAAAAAGTTTTATCTCGTGTCCTATATCCCGCCTCTATTGTAACTCAGGGTCAAAGGGTAAATATAACATAAAAATTTACCAAGACATTTCAATAATAAATAATCTATTTCTATTTTCAAGTGATTACATTCGTCGCGTTAATGTAGAATTACGAATATGTTAATTTTCGACTTATTAACCTTTGTAATAGATCTAGGCATAATGCATCACATATCGATAGAGATGCAAGAATAATTGTATTTGGCTACACAAGATTCTAAATTACAAATAAATTGAGAAATTAACACATTTCCTGAACTGAAAAAGGTGATGATAAAGAAACATTAGTAAAACTTAAAGTAGCTAAAGAATTAAAAGACGGTATGCAGTACAAAAGAACAAACTAAATGAAAAAAGACACAACGAATTAATAAACCAATAATCTAAACGAAAGAATAGACGGAACAATTAATAAACTAAAAACAGAACAGACACAACGAATTAATAAACTAATGGCAAAACATACATAATGAATTAATAAACTAAACGAAAGAACAGACAGAACAAATTAAACGAAAGAATAAGCGAACAAATAAACTAATGAATAAATTAATCATATATTATTTGCGAGGAACAAGGGGATTCTATATTAAATTATTATGGTTAAAATCTCTTAATTATATATTATAAAACGATCAAAAAAAGTTTTCATATAGTAACTCTTCAAAATTGATATTTAGTAAATCATATTCTGGGATAAATAGTTGTGAGGGTGAGTGTGAGGGCAAGTGTGAAGATGTTAAGTTATTAGTGTTAATGTTAACATTTCCAGATAAAAAAGGAAATTGATCCAATGAAATTATTTCATTAATGTTAACCATGTTGATCGAATTCCATGTATTGGCGTTCGGATTGATTGTGGAAGGATGAGTGTCATTATTAACGTTAATACCAACATTTCCAGATAACAAAGAAAATTGATCCAATGAAATTATTTCATTAAATGCGTTATTGATCGAATTCCCAACATCCGCATTATTATTATTGACTGTGGAAGGACAAGTATCATCAATGGTTGTCGAAGCGGTGTTATTATTGACTGTGGAAGGACAAGTATCATCAATGGTTGTCGAAGCGGTGATAACAGTATGATTATATTCGATTGTTGATGTTGTATTATTCAAAGAGGGCGACCTAACGATTTGTGCTGCTTCTTGAGGAGTTGTACTCGTTGAGCTAGGTTTATGTGACAATTTTGGTGCGTATTTCTTTTGTTCGCGAAAAACCCATTTCTTAACGCTTGAATCTTTTGCGTTTTTTGGCTTATACTTATAATTAGGATATAAGCTTTTGTGATTCTCACAAGCTATTTTTTCTAATATTTTGAAGAAATGTTTGGTTTCGCTTGATAGCTCTCGCCACTTTAAACTGCATTCCTTTGCTGTTTCTTTTACTTTTTGTTTGATGTGTTGATTACATAAACGTAAATGCGCTTCATAATCTCTTCGAAAAATTATCCAGCTGTTTTGTGGACGTGGTGGTTTATCAGAATTATCACGTTTTCTTACAGCTGGCTTAGTTAATTCTTCAATGGAAAGAGTTAATTGATAAGAGCATTTGCTTAAAAGTACCAGTTCATTATCGTGTAAATAGTCGTAATTAGCATTAACGACGGAATTAGGCATTTTAAGCAGAACAGTTAATTTTGTGAAAAGCAAATTGAGGAAATAGTTTTCGCTAAGAATTTATTAGGACGGTAAAAGACAAAAACTTCATCGCTTTATAGAACTGTCGTTACTCGTATCACCCTATTTTAACGTATTATCATTATTGCATATTGCCGAAAAAAAGAATATGATAAACTGCGTACATGCACCCAATACAAAATATTCATTCCATTCAATGAATTCAATGAAAACTAAATTTGTATTATTACCATAAAGAAAACAGATAAAAATGGAACGACATACATGTAGTTCAATGTGATTGGTTCAATGTGATCTGATTGGTTCGAGCAAATACTTGCGCAATACATGACGATAGTGACACAGATTGATCGATTACGCCAAAGCCGGGTACATCTGATAATCAGTCCGAAACACAAACCAATAAGGATGCGTAAATTTTTGATCAGCCCGGCAAAAACAAATCCGAAGCGCAAACAAAATATGAAAAATAACGAAAAACAGATGCTTAAATCTATTTCGGTATACTAATAAAAAATGTCGGGGAGGCAATTTTATATATAATTTCGATCTCAACTCTAACTCTGACCCTATCCCTAAGCTTAAAATCAATCTTTAATTATATAGTCTCATGTCACCTGGCTTTAGCCATCCCCTTTAATTGAGGATCGGTTAACATTCGATAATTTGTTCGAAGAACAAACCAATGAGGATGCGTAAATTTTTAATCAACAAGGCAAAATAAATTTGAAGCAAAGACAAAAAAAAGAAAACGGGTGCTTAAAATGTCGGGAATGCAATTTTATATATAACCTTATCTCCTTTCCAACTCTAACCCTAACGTTAAAGCTACCTTTTAATATATATCACGTGATGAGCTACGCTTTAACCGCTCTCCTTAATTAGTATCGTAAAGCGCTCTGTACATCAAATAGTGCTGCAAGCCGACTAAGCTTTTTGCAGCTGAGTCTTTAAGCTGCTGTGAAGATTTTGAGGCTCAGCCGTTCAAATTGGGAAGTATAGTATTCATCATGAGTGGTCAATCAGGCAGATCAGTCAAATCAGCATATTGATTATTGAGATATAAGCTTCCAAATGTCAATATTATATAATACATGTACAGATAAATCTCTCTAAGTGTACCCCCCTTGGGACCAGCCATGAGCGTGCACTTAGAGAGAGTGTACACTTAGAGAAAAAAGTATTTTTTATGATCCAATTACTGCATATATGATGTTATTTTCACTACTACATATTAGTTTTTTTAAATTGCATTAAAAATTATTATAGTAATCAATCAAATCATCATTAAAATAATCAAATCACCATTAAAATTTATTATAGTAATCAATCAAATCATCATTAAAATAATCAAATCACCATTAAAATTTATTATAGTAATCAATCAAAGTCTTAAAAATTAAAGTAATCTTCTATATAAGACTATTACAACTGACTAATTTTCTTTTCTTTAATAACTATTTCAAAATACTCATTAATCTATATGCTTAGCTGTGTTTTCTTGTTAAAACAAAAATATTTTAACATTTTCTAAATTTCTTAAAGCCATACTGATATTAATAATCATTAGTTCAATGTTATTATTTTCATCTGAGTTGATAGTTTTCTTTTTTCTGAATATATTTACAAGCTTTACAATAAGCTAATTCTTCTCTAGAACTTTGTAGACAATATCCTTGTTAGGAACAGTCAAAAATTTGTTAACTCCCATCTGATTTGGAAAATAAAGAATATTATTAAGTGTCTTAGCAAGCTTTTTAAATACTGAATTATTAGTTTTTTGAATATCATTAAAGAAATCAGTATTGATAAAAAGAATTTTGATATATTATCAATAATTATAAATAATTATTTATTTTCAAACTTGGATGATATTGTTGTATAATGATCTTTTGTCATAATATTTTATTATTGGATTATAAATATCTCATATATTATTGGATAAAGATCATATCACGTGAAGC